TGGAAATTCTAAAAACCCTGGGCTTTTTTTCCCCCTTTGGGGAACTTTTAAAAAATGATTGCATCTATTGGAAGACTTTCTCACAGTCTCTGAAATATTTTCAGAAATGCAATGGGAACATGAGAGGAATTTTTTTGCCTACAATCCTTTTTGAGAAAGAATAACAAGAGCTGGAAGGGTCTGGGTGGGTGGCCAAGTAAGTTTCCTGTCCTTGCAGCAGGATGCCACAGGGACTGCGAAAAAAACTCTCATTTTTACTTCTTCTTGTTTCTCTTCTATTTTTTATTTTTTAAGGTGTGGTAAAATACATAAAGAAAAATTTGCCACGTTAACTATATTGAAGTGTACAGATTAATGTTCACATTGTTGTGTCTCTCTTCTTTTTTAAGCAAACAAAATACATAACTTTTAGTAACTCAGGAGATGGATGTCTGCAGTGAAACAGGTCTTTATTTCAAAGTGGTTCCACTCCTTTTCCATTACTTAAAGGAAGAGAGAAATGGAAAGTGTTTTCCCTGCATCTCTATCAGTTTTAGTAACAGTGGAATCCCCTATAAAATACATGAAACTGTGCTGATAATCTTCAAAACCAGAGTCATTTGTTGTAGCAAATACTTCAGTTGAAGAAGAAACCATTTCACATTCTGCAAATAGGAGTTCAATATATCTAATGGAGCAGAGAGGCATATTGAAAAACTTAGTTCTGTTTGGAAAAATTTCTAGCAATCTCGAAATATCTCCTTGGTGTTATTCCAAATTGAAGATACCATGATGGGACTCCCTGATTAAGTTGCCCTTCATTGTATTTTGATGCCTGACTTGAATTGGGAAGATTTAAAGAAAGTTTATCATCTTGTTGGACTGTGGAAAATAAATAACAATAAAAACACAACTCTTACTGAACAACTCACAAATGCATGCTGGAAAGGGGCTCTCCCTTCAGAGCTCCTGGAAATATATTGATATTCTTTCATTTCGGTTTCCATGTGTCAGGAGAAGTCGGTCCAGAAAAGAGCCATTCTGTGGAACCTTCCCCTTGGGGTACAGCAGCATTGCTGACCAGTCATCAATCATTTTGAAAATGGTCCTTCGTGACACTAATGCTGGCCACATAGATTCTGTGGCATGGGAGGTGAGACGGCAGCCAAGCTACTGATAGGCAGGCAGCAAACACACCCCAATGCTCTGCAGAGCTGCACAGAAGTGGGAGGTCCTACGGTCCTCCTAAAGCAAGATTCCTCACACTGAACACTGGAGGGGGTTCAGGAAAAGGAAATGTTAAATATTTTCTGGGTTTTTCACTTAACTAAGCAGTTATTACCTGCAGTAGACATTACTATTGTATTTTTATTTTTAAATGGCTACCCAGGATATATATATGTTCCCTATGTAGGGTGTTTGGAGTTAGCAAATAAAAGTACAGAATTCTCAATTAAATTTAATTTCAGATAAGGAGCAAGTAATTTTTAAGTATAAGTGTGTCCTGCGCAATGTATCCCATGAAGTATACAGGACATGCTTATACTCAAGATCTATTCATTGTTTATCTGAAATTCAAATTTAACTGGGCATATTATATTTTACCTGGCAACCATATTATTATAATTTATTAAAAATTATATGTAGTTGACATGTGTAATTCAATTTAAACTTCAATATGTTGATTTAATTTAAACTTCAATCTGTGTTGACTTCTCTCCTCCTCCATTTTCAAGTACCAGAATTTCCTTCTGAACTATTTGTACCATGCTTCTGTATCTATGCCCATCTCATTGGACTTTTATGTGCAGAATTTAAAATATATTTTAGTTTTATTTGTGGCACTAAAGACAGATTTTAGGAATCTAATTCAGTTTTGCACTTTAAATTAAATGCATCTTAATTTCCTTATTAGCTATATCTAAATATTCCCATTTTTTCTTTTATTTTTTTCCTTTTATGTCCCTACTCATGTTCAGTTAGCTTATAACTCTTCTTTAAGGTCTTTCAGTTTGTTGTCTTAAGAGTCAGGATTAATTAATGTTTTTATTTCTATACACACACACACACACCAATAAATGATCACTGTGGAAAACATAGGCCATTATAAAGAAATTTAATCCCACAAGGGAATGATAATACACTGATTTCTATAGAAGTAGGGGAAATAAAGGCCAGATATAAACTAAAACATGAAGGAACTATTATTTTATTTAATTACTATTATTACTATTAATTTTAATAGTAAATAGTTACTATTATTTTTTAAAGGCTTTTGTTTTTTACCGTGGTTTTATAAAGAGGACTAAAAGGCATAAGAAAAATATACCTGTATCCCTGTTGCTGTTTCCCTGTGAGAATGACTGTGGGAAGCCTGAAGTAATAGTCTAAGGAAATCAAGCTTGTCTTGCTTTTGTGATCTATCTCCAACCAGGATGATTTTAGAAAAGGAAACATTGCAGAAATAAGGATTTTAAAGTTTTATTTTTTTTACTGTTAATTGGATTAAGCTAGTTTTCTAAGAGAGGCCATCTCTACAAAAATCTTTCAGACATTTATAATACATAATAGTTTGACCCACACCATTATACTATTTCTGTAGCTCTTCCAATGAAGTTGAGCAAAAAAATAATTTAATCATGTAGAAAATGACCTTCTGGTTTCATTGGGCCAAATTGAGTATATCTGAAATAAATGTTTTCTGGTCTCCTTAATTTAAATGTTTATAGCATGGTTGATAATTTGCCAAAGAAACACAAAGGGCCACAGGAGTTATTTATATTTAAAGAAATCTATTCCGATTCTATTTCTTACTACATAAAATTACTCTGCATCAAGTTGCTTCTTCTTGACAGTGACTCAGGAAGGGTACATATTGCTTCAGAGACTGAAAGCTGTGCAGCACGACTCAGTATTAGGAGTACTCCAGAAACAGCCATGATGGGAGCAGGAAAGACATCCTGGGCCATGCCAATGGCTTGAGGTCAGACTGAATGAAACAGCCTGAAAAAAATGAGAAGCCAAAGTGACTCTGATGAAAGGGGGTCACATTCAACATCCCTCTCTCCCTGTCTGCTCTTAACCAGTGTCCCTCTTATACCATTTTAGTTCTGCACCATAACTGCTGAGAGGTCAGAGGATCACACATTTTCCATCAGAGACATAATCATCTCTTAAGATAATGTCCCGTGGAGATGAGTGCACCATAACAGAGGAACCATGTTCAATACATCAGTATCAAAGTCTAAGAAACTCTCAGCACCAAACAAATGCAAAACTGCAAATACTCAAAATCTGCTCTCGTACTCCAAAAAGTAGAGCAGATAATTGAATATTTGACATTATGAGAATGCATAAATGAATGACATCTTCTCTCAAAAGAGCTACTGCTGGTAATTCCATAAAATAGCAAATAAATTTTATCCTTCACTGAAAATAATGATTAATTGGCCAAAACTTCACAAATTTTTTCACTTTATAATTAGTAGTCAAGTTGTTTTCATTGACATTTTACAGACTAAGTTAAGATCAATGTATGTATTTATCTGTAATATTTACTCTCCACTATTTCCTAAAAGGATGGGGTTAAATCCTCATAAACTATAATCAAAACACAGAATTTTTTTGTAAGTTCGAATGAGAAATAAGAATGTATGGAGTAGGTGAGAAAGTGAACCAATTCTAGCCTTCTCCTTAGGTAAGACAGTTATTACCCTTGAACATTCAGCTTAACTCAGGTTCCAAGGAAAGCTGAGAAACATGATGGATTATATACTTACAGTCTGTTCATAAAATGAAGCATCAGTTCTTCACAACAGTGCATTGAGGTGCCATCAGTATTTATGCCATCTTGAGCTGGATTGCTTAAGCATCTAGAGAATTGTGTGTTCAGGTTTTGGTAGATATTTCTTATAAATGGGTTATGGTGTTCAACTATTCCCATTTTGTACAAGTCCCAGTTGCAAAGGTGATAAACATAGTAGGTGGCATATTTCCAATATTTCTTTCTTTTTTGAGCTTTTTATCAAGGTACCACCTAACATTAACATGACTGAAATTTTTGAAAGAGGGGAGATCTGATATGAAAAGAAAGTAATTTTGCTTTGCACACCAGATTATGTTTTGGCTTGCCAGGGCCAGTATATGGCAGCCCCTTACCACCCCCAACTCCCCATTTGTTTTAAGTTTGTTTTCACTACCTTTTTTGAAAACTTGATACCATATTGTATGATAAATAATAACAATAAAGGGGAAAAAGGAAAGGGAATTAATTTATCCTTTACTTTTAACTACTTGATGGTCATTTGGATCACAGTGATCATCAGAGCGTTGAGCCACATAGCAAGAGTTTTCAAGAAGTTCAAAAAAATATGGCTTTAATGATACATGAGACATTCTGTTAAATATTTTGAGCTGCTTCTTCATGCAAAACCTTCTATTGTGCTAACACCGCAATAGAAGGATAATAAACAGGTATCTACTGTAGAGATCTCAGTGGGAAATAGTCCTATAAAAAGTTGTAATAGAATCTGATTCATAATATATCTGTACACATTAGTTTTAAATGTAGGACTAGTGAAAGCTTATTGACTGATTTTTTTAACCATATAAAGCAGTGTTACTTCTCATGCTAAGCAAAGGTATTTACCTTTACAAATCTAAACTTCTATCTACGTTCCCTCCCCGTCACCTCCTGCCTCCAGCTATACCACAGAAAGCCCTAAGGATGACTCAGTCTTACGTTTTGTAAAGCAGTTAACCATTTGCCATATAGTTATTCGCCTTCTCTGTGCCTCCGAATCCTCAGCTGCCTAATAAGGAAGTGTTCTTAGAATCGTTAATACAATTCTAAGTGAAATTGTTTGGGCTCCTTGAAGAAAACTATACAGCCTGACAGAATTTTTGGCTATTGTTTGCAAGTAACTAATTCGGAGTAACTTGAAATTATCTTCATATCATGCCACCCATAAGTGGGAGTGGGGTATATTTTCAAAGTTCAAATATTGTTTTCTTTATTACAGGTTTCTTTTCTCCATGGAAAACTCCAAAGCCTGTAAGTTGGAATTATTATGCTTCTTTCTTTATTTCTAGTTATTATTACAGTCCCATTAAATAAGAGTTGACTTGAGTGACCTCAAAATCTCTTCTCCCTCTGAGATTCTGTGATATCAAAAAAAAACAAATCCTCTGAGTTCCTTTGTCTTGTATTTGTCCCACAAATACAAGACTAACTCATCTTACCCTTCTGCAAACACATTTCTGCCTAGTTTTTAATATACTTATAAAATGAGCATTAACACTCCCTCACCATGGTGCACTGAAAATATTTCCAAAACAAATATTCCATTTGTTCTTCCCCCGTCAGAAATACTAGTCTTTATAACACAGAATTTTTAGAAACAATGCACCTTATAGGCCTGGAGGGCTTGACAGGTGCATTAAATCTGGTCCACAAGAAATATAGCTCTGTATATATTTATATTAACATTTTAATATATATAGCACTACATGTGTTGGGGAGGGGGGTAGAATATTCACACTCAGAGACATACATATTCCCTCAAACCTGACAGTCACTCCAGGTGGGGCTCCTGAATCTTCACAGAAATGGGGATCTCAGCCGTCGTCTAATCTCCTTGAGCCAAGTCCCCTAATGAATCATCTTGCCATTTTGCTGCTGTTGCAGGAGACTGATGGATTTTAATAATCTTTCTGGGAGGCTGGGTTAGCCAAGTTGGCTTCACAGTTAGAGATGGTCTTTACTTTTTGTTATTAGACTGAAATGAAAAATTGTCCAAGTCCCAAGATCTGGAGCTGGCGTTCCAGGATCCCATTTCCTAGGGTGTTAGAATACACCACCAGCATGGAATGTCTAAACCCACAGCTGAAAGAGAACTGTAGCAAAGTGATTTGGGTCCAAAAAAAACTCAGGGACTCAAATCTCCCACCTAATTTTTTCTTTCCTCTCACAATGAGCAGCTCAGACCAAAGTGGCCCCTCATGTGGCCAGTGAGGAGGGGACTGAGTTAATTTTATACCTCTCTTATTTCTTTCACTGCAGGAATATTTAACTACTTGGTTTTCTCATTTTAGAAATGGAGATAAGATAATTTGCATACTTTTCAAGTGCTATAACTGATTTAATTAAATGACATGCCTTGAAAATGGTTTGATGACATGAAATTAAAGGATGATGAGCCCCATAATATGCCTGAGCTCCAGGTTTCTCTCAAAGAGAGACGAAGAAGCTGGGAGATGGAGATGGTAAACTGATGTCAGCACTCCCGAACTTTCTCACGTAGCTTAGCTTAGGTGGGATTTAAAAGCTCATCTGGTCCACAGAGAACATCCGATGGGAAAACTGCACCTACATGGGCCTAGTGGACCACTCGTGGTTGTGAAGCATGTGCTTCTGAAAAGAGGTATTTAAAAAATGTTTCAAATGAAATTTACTTTATTTGGCCAAATCTAAATAATTCTTTCCTTTCATCACTAAAGTTATATCTGGGCTCTGCGGTTATACACATCTTTATCTAATCTAACAAGAAAACTGGCAACCTCATTGTGGTTCTACAATTATGCAATCTAGTGATTTCCTTATAGGGACCACATTTACACCAATTATGCCATTTGACATAATTGCAGCATTTGCTGTCATTATAGTAATTACATCCATAGTCAATAATTCCAAAAAAAGGTTTCATGGAATTCAATTTACAATTAATTGCTAGCCCATATATCCCTAGAAAAGCTAAGGCTTGGACTTCACGTCACAGGTTGAGTAAACACAGAGGACTGTTGATTTAATGTCCTCCTGTGTCTATCAGAAACTCTTCAGACTAAAGACTGTGAGAGGCAGCATGGTAAAAGGTTCAGGGCGCAAGCTCTGAAGACACACTACCTGGGTGCAAACTTTGCCTCATCTCCTTACAAGTTTTGTGACCTTCAACTAGCTGCTTAAGTTCCCAGTATCTCAAGTTCTACCTCTGTAAAATGAGGACATAACAATGCTCCGAGCATCATTAATGTTATTAGTTATCATTAACTAATATGGTTATTGTGAAGAGTGTATGAGTTAATCCATGTAAGGTGCTCAAAACAGTGCCTCTACAAGTTGAGATAAAAAACACCAACTATTGTCATCCTAGGAGACCCTCCATGCATAAAACCTTAATAAATTAACCATTCTCTGAAATGAGCATAGTTTGCTATACTTATTTAAACAAATACAGAAATATATACTCACAGCACATAAATTTATACACTCTCTCCTCAAAGGAGGATTGGTGGCATCCTCAGTCAGCTTAGTTAGAATAAGGAAATGTTATCCTTAGTGAGATTTTTCCTCCTCCTTGTCCTGAGTCACTTTCTGAACTTCTTCCATCCTACTGATCCACATCTCAAGCTAATCCACGTTAAGACAGTCACTTCCTGTTTAGCAAGTAATACACTAATTATAGTGAGGTCTCATTCCCTCCATCTCAGCAGATGGCGGGGTGTGTGGTGGAGGGGTCCAAGTTCATTCTTCAAGTATAGAATCAAGCCACATGCCTTCTTCTCCCAGCCCTGCCCTAAAATAATGAGGGGTTGTGTTTAGACTACCACAGCTTCTCTAGGAAGCAAACACTTTCTAGACAGAGTATTTCATGGGTGAGGTGGGGGGATTTGCCTTATCCACAAGCCCTCTCTGCTCCCAGTGTGTGCCTTAGAACCAGAAGGTAGGGCAAAATGTATTAGCCACAGCATGACTGGGTTTTCCATCTCACTGTTTGATCCCCTCCTGTGGACTGTGCATCCATTCTGCCCACTGATGTCCCATGCCTAACACCAGTGATCGTCCTTTCATGCAGGCATTCAGGCAGGCAGGCACTCAGTCACCAAGGCCCACAGAAATGCAAGCCTTCTCCCAAGTATAGAAAACAACTTTGTTTCTGTTTTACCTTACTCAAGTGAGGTGTTTATAAATATCTGCCTGGGTATGGACACCATTGGGGCCAGACAAGACCTAATGAGAAGCCTGGCAGGTAGCCCAACTCTAGACAAGTCAAGTCCAGGAAAACACTGGGTGGAGAGCAAGTGAGGCCCAGGGCCCTGAGCAAGGGGACAGATCAGAATCTACAGGTCTCATGAATTTTGAGAAAAACAGGTAAGCACAGAATATCCCAGCTAGAAAGTAAAGTCAGGAAACCAAGGTGTCTAAGAAAGTAAGAAGTAACAGTGTGCGCCCCTCAAAAGGCACTGTCAGATCAGCACGCCTGCCCTGGGGAGCAGGGTGACCTCTGACCTCAGGGAAGATTTGCTCTAGGGTCTTCTGGGCTGGAGCCAATGAATAATTCTTTTTGGAGTGGTAACACATAGGACTGTGAGTCTGCTTTTCTAGTATTTTCCAAGGCGCATTGATTTTCTGCTCTATCGTCTTTTAAGAAACCCTGACAGAGTGACTCAAGGGTTGAGGAATGTCCCAGCAAGATGTTGTGAATGCTTTATTAAGCATGAACTGGACTCTTGACTAACTCCCCACCTCTGTGCTACAGAAATTGTAGAACTTGTCAGTCTGCCATAGCATATTTTACAGCAACGCCCAAAGCATTATCGGTTCTATAGTTTTAAGAATGTTTCTTAGAAATACTAATATTCCACCCGATGCATGGTTGCTCCAGTGGCTGTAAAATGAACACTACAATAGCAAGACCCGTGTGAGTGTCAGATACCCTCAGTGGGAGGTGGGGGAGAGAAATAGACATTTGCTGAAACCCTATGGAGACAAGTGGAGTGCTACAGCCACCCAGACCATATTTCTAATTTATTCACTCTTCACAATTTAACATCTTATGTTTGCAGCCAGAATGCACCTACATGTTAGGTATCTAAAGTCAGTTAAAGTGAAAACCAAGAAAGAACATGACCTAAAATAATGAGGGGTTGTGTTTAGACTACCACAGCTTCTCTAGGAAGCAAACACTTTCTAGACAGAGTATCTGTAAGTGAAAGCTTCGTAAAACAAGGTTACAAATGTGGGCCTTCCCATCACAGCAAAGACACCAAGAATAGCTGACCAAAAGGACCCAGAATGGCTTCCTAGAATTTTGCTCTCAAATCAATTATGAAGTGCATATTTAAAGATGTTTACTCAATGGTAGCACAAGGCCCACTGAGCAGAAAATTACCAAAAACAATAAGCAAATTTACCAGTTATTACCCTTCATGTATTGTTATGTGAAAAAACACTCCTGTTACATAGCTTGGTTCTGACCCAGGGTCTGCTGACAGCCACGGGGCCTCTCTGGGCACCTGGAGGTTATGTTTAATGCCAGGGAATTGGACTCAGCTAGGGGTTTTCCATCCCTTATTCAAATGAAATCTTGGTCAGTAGCCCAGATGAAAAATGAAGCCAATTTGGTTAGTCTGTTTGGGCTGCTATAACAAAATACCATAAACTGAGTGACTTATAAGCAGCAGAAATTTATTTCTCCTGGTTCTGGAGGCTGGAAGTCCAAGCTCAAGGCACACAGTAGAGTCTGTGTCTAGTGAGACCCCACTTCTTAGACAGCTGTCTTTTTTCTCTAAGTTTGCCCAGCAGAGAGGACAAGGGAGTCTCTGAGGCCTCCTTTACAAGTATGCTGATTCTACTAATGAGGGCTCCAGCCTCGTGACCAAATCACCTCCAAAGACCCCACCTCCTAGTAGCATCACCTTTGGTGTCAGAACTTTAATACATGAATCTGTGGGGACTCACACGTTTGGGCGACAGCACCAGTCTTACTAAGATATGGGTCAGTGACCCATTTCTCTCCTACTTTGCTGACTCACCCAGTCACTGCCACAGTCCCACGTAGGTAAGCAGGCCTCAGGGGACTTTCTGTTCTACAGAGACATGCATGGTACCACACAGCCCTTCCAACTTTAAAAATTTTATGATTGATATGTCAGAGCTAGCATCGGAGCCCTGGCCAAAATATAGCCAGGACGGAAACAAAAGCAGGACAGTGCAGAAAGGGGCAGAAAGTTATAACCCTGCCACATTCAAAATGGTGTATATCAAAACTAGTTTTTTAAAAAAAGAGCAGTTATGAGTCAGCCAGATTTTTAAAAAGAACAGGTGATTATTTCATTCATTCACTAAATTAACATTTTCTGAGCTCTTACAGTATATACAACAATGTAACACAACAATGAGAAAGACTGTGTCCCCTGCAGGCTCTGTCCCCAGTGTCTACTTGAAGAGGCGTAGGTAAGACCTATAACGGCAGTGGGGTGTGATGAGTGGGGTGAGGGGTAGAGCACCCTGTAGGAACAGCTAAAGCCTTCTAGAAGAGACATCTCGTCTGACCCTAGTCATCAGGTAATGAGTAATGGAGACAGCAGAGTGGAAAATGGGTAAACTCTGCAGATAGGAAGAGAAATTAAGAAACTATGCAATGGTCAAGAGGCAGAAAAGAACCTGGTGGATGCAAGGAAATGAGCCTGTGACTCACTCGGTGAGTGAGCATGAGAAACATGAGCAGAAACTGGGTCACGAGAAACCGTTAATGTCCCACTGAGACATGGGCCTTTTTCCTGAGGACTGTGCTGACTCAATGCAGAATTTTAGGCAAGAGGGTAACCTAATTTTTATACAAAGCAGGTATATTCAAAGCAGTAAAGTGAAAGTTGAGTTTGAACAAAGAATCAGTTGATTGTTGAATGAAGGTAAAGTTGGTGGTGCAAATAGGTGATCCTGGTGAACCCGGCTTTCTCCTTAATAAAAGGATGTTAGTCCCTGCTTTACCTGCCTTATGGGGCCTGGTGATAATCAAAGATAATGTATGTGAAGGAGCATGGTAAACTGGGAGGTGTTCTGTAAATCTTTAATAAATTACTGTGGTAGAAAGAGCAGCAGCAGCTGAGTTTGGGGAAAGAAATGTCAGTTCAGCAATAAATGTCTTCACAGAAGACATTGAACAATTCATGGATCCCAGAGGGTTGTATTATTACTTGTAAACCACAAGGGAGGTGATTGAATGGTCACGTAGAGGAGATTGTTGGGAGAGGTGCAGATGTCAAATGAATATGTGCAGACTACTTTATCTCTTTCTATTTTAGTAAAAATGGGGTCATGTATCAGGGCCATCGTAGAAAAGGAAAAATACTGTACTACTGTACGTTGCTACACACTTACACCTAAATTACCTTCAGATGCATGTTAGTATTTATGTTGCAGGAAAAAAGCAAGCACAAAGAGATAGAATGATTTGCTGAAGATTTTACCAGCTAATAGGTGGCAAAGTTGTGTAAGTTTGTGTTCAAAAGTCAGGCACCACTTGTATTTATAACAGTCTATGGTGTCTTATTCTATAGAAGTAAAATCTTTTCTTGCAACACTCTTATCCCAAAGTTGTAAATGTTTCCTGGGAGAAAAGTCTGTGGGGCAAAGAAGCCTAACTTTGAAGGTGAGGGTTGTGGTATGTGGCAAAGGAAATAAAAGAAAGAATTCTCCATCAGTCACATCGTCTGTTCTCTTGCATCTTTCAGGTGATGGACCGGTGGGAGAACCAAGGCAGTCCTCAGACCAGCCTCTCTGCCCCGGCCGTGCCGCAGAGCCTGCCCTTCCCGCCCGCCCTGCACAGGAGCTCCTTTCCTGACTCAACAGAGGCCTTTGACCCAAGGAAGCCTGACCCATATGAGCTCTACGAGAAATCGAGAGCCATTTATGAAAGTAGGCGTAAGTGAAAGCCTCGTAAAACAAGGTTACATTAATAATAGCTGAAGCCCTGCCAGGAGACAGATTGAGGCTGAAATGATCTGGCATGAGTTTGTATTCTGAGGTTCAAAAAGGACTCAAAAGTAAAGCCAGCTGATCTGAGCTACTTTAAAAAAAAAAAGTCTCTATAAAGCTTATCTGTTGGTTTTCAATCTTTCCGTTTTCTACTTTTTTCCTCTAAGCCCTGAGGAAAATCAGGAATGTATTGGTATTGGGAGTGAGAAGGCAGAGCAAAGAAAGTTGCCAGTTTTAAGTCACCAAATGATAAAAAGAGATGTTGAATATTTTTACTTTTAAGCTGATCTTGAGTCTGAAGCTTAGATTTCTCATAGAGCCTTGAATGCAGTCATTGAATTTAGGGCCGTGAGTCAATGTTAGTCAACTCCTGACTCAGTCATGAAAGCAATGGTTCTGGAAGCAGCCCAGAGCCAGGCACCAGTCATGCCTACCTGAAACTTCTGTTTGTCTTTTAATACAACAGGGCCCCTTTGAAAGTTCAGCCATAAAATAAAATACTGTGAATGCACTTGTCATCCTATTTGAAGGTCCTCTAAAATTACTTCATTGCACTTTATAAATATTAGAAAACAAAAGTTTTTAATATTGCATATATAGTCATTGTGCCTCTTTCCACCCTCTACCAGGTCATCTCTTCCAAATGTTAGAGGACAGGAATCTGAATGGCATGAATGTATAATCTATGAGGGAAATACACAGTATAATATGAACCTGAGTAAAGGAATCAAAAAACTGGGCCTAGTGGGAAGGCTTTGGTCTCCGGCCTCCCATTTTCTGACTGCTGAAGTCCTTTGTTTCAGGGTCCCACCAGTGTCTTCTTCCCACCTTTATCATCTGAGGCATGAAGAGTGAGTTTTAAGTTGTGTGTGATCTCAGAGGCACTCCTATCTACTAACTTTTTGACGAGCTCAGGGGCTGAGAATTATGCAAGGGGAGAAGTACACACAGTGCCTTTTCCCCATCCTCTACAATTCTCAGTAAAAGTGTTTTTGGTTGAAAAATAGTTATCACAGAAGGCCTTGGAGAAGTCATTTCCAACACAATGATCCCCTCCCACACTTATTTTTTAACTTATTGACTAGGTCTGGGCTATTGGATTTCATTCTTCCCCTTCTGGATGAACAACTGACATGTCTTTAAAGGGCTGTAAAGTTAGGATGCCTTTGCTGTGAAAGAATAAGTAAAGTAGGCATTTTAAGCTATATAAAATAGGGTATGATTCAGGCTAGTAATGCTCATGAAACTGAAAAAAAAATGGAAAAGATTTCAGCACAGTTCTTAATACCTTTTCTGCTTTAAAAACCTCGTATTTATGGAATACCCACTTCACTCTCAGTATGGTAGGGAGATACAGAGATGAGTACTACAAACTTAACTGGAGAAATAAGAAAAAGTGGGAACAAGTGGAGATCAAAAGACAGACGTTCTAACTAGGAAGGTAGAAATGCATTGCAGGAATAAAATATCACCCTCATGTCCTTGTTTAATTTTTTTATTGCATTTAGGGAACATCAGGATATGCTTCCCTGCTTTTGTCCCTTCATTAGTCTTTTTCTTCCAGCCTTTTGCAGTTTCCTGGCCAGTGCAAATCTTTATTATTCAGGACAAAGGCAAAGTTGGTATTTATTCTATCCTGTCTTCATGGTGTCTGATCCTGTGTGCCCTCAGTTTCTGAGCAGGAATTGTTCATGACCTTCTTCTCAACCCTAAAAAAATTCTGATTTCTTTACCCAGTCTCTGCAATGCAGGTTCTGTACATTGCCTTTCCGCTGCTCACCTGGAACAATCCCAGCACACTGATCTGCCTTTACCTCCCACAACCTCTTCAGTCCTCCCCTGGGAGCTCCTTAACCCCTTGCCCTCCACAGCCACAGGAACAACAAACGTCCCCACTCCCCACCCATCCTCCTCTGCCCCCATCAGCGCCCCAATATGCCTTCACTGCTGCAGCTCTAATCCGGACCCCCTTCCTGTTCTCATCAACTCTCACTAGCGTTTCTGAGGTCACAGTAATGTTTTCAGGGTCACAATTCTTAGGAAGCCAAGAAGGGGTGAGCTCATTCTTTTTCCCATCCTGCTCCTTTCTATCATTGTGTTTCATAACACTAAATGGAGTGTGAATGAAACACAGAAATCATGCTGAGGTAAGAAAGGCTCTACCCTGAAGACTAAGGGAAGGGAGCCAAAAATGCACGATGCCACTTTCTCTGGTCTCTGGATGGCCAATCAGCTCACCCTGCGTGTGTGTGTGTGTGTGTGTGTGTGTGTGTGTGTGTGTGTGTGTGTGGCTTGAAACAATATGGCTTGAAAAAACAAAACAGCCCTTTGCCCTCCATACATTTCCTGTTTCCAAGTATGAAGAAGTTTCATTCTGTCATTAAATTTTTAGAACAATACCAAAAGAAAATTTTGTTTCAGTGATGGGGGGGAAGGTCAGTCCATTTCTCATCATCTTCAAATAGGTTTTTTAAAAAGGATCATGAAATGTATACATCCAAACAAAAGACCCACATTTGACATTTTAACTTTGAACCACTCCTATTCTGACTCTGTTGAATCACACACATAACATTTAGGTTAGGCTTCATTCATTCTTGTGTCCCAGAGCTTTTTCCTGGGAGGAAACCCAATGGGACCAAGGGAAGTGTAGAAGGGATTCTAACCACAGCTGTTTAAACCAAGTTCTGTGGCATCTTCCCTGGCCGACATCCATCTCATAGGATCTCATAAAGCTGAAGTGGTATATTTTGCATTCACGTTCAAAACGAGGTTGCAGTAACCAAGGGATGTACCTCCACCCATGAGTGTCTGCTGCACAGAGCTACCGAATGTTTGCTCTATCAAGGCTGTCAAGAAGTGTTTGGATTCAGCTCACCAGTCCCCTGCAAATGATGGGAGTTTATCAAATGATGTAAATGCTGCTGTGCCTCATTTGGCTCATAATTTGATTATACTGACATTTTAATGTGCATGCACAGGACATCTTAATAAAGATGTATTCCTGAAAATAAAAAATGTGGTCATTTTAAACAAACAAAGACAACCATGGGATACTAGAGCCACATGAAACAGAACATGACAGGTACATGCTTATGAGAGGAAAGCTAGAAACACCTCCCAGCTTTATGTATCTCACCATGAGGAGGAACTGAACAAAGAGAGAAGGGAGAATCTCCCACCAAGCTCGAGGCGATGCCTCTGATTTCAAAGCCTCGGGCAAGGTGCCCAGAGGCAGGCCCTCCAGGGTCCACATCAACCAGCAAGAATGTATGAAGCACTCAGTATGTTTCTAGAACTCTGCTGGGTGCTCCACAAGAGAAAAATCCCAAAAAATAATCTCTGCTTATACAAAATTTACAGTGAGATTAGAGACACAAACACAGAGGGAAACATTGCCTGAATGAGAGTGCTTCACACAACCCAGCAAATAATAATAATAATGATATCAGCATTTTTACATGCAAAATTGTGCAGTAAATAGTTTAAATATAATTAGACAATTGGGGCAATAATTTTGCATTCCATGTGCAAAATTGATGTTTTTCAAGAGAATGTCCTATTTAAATATCTTAATTATCAAAAATCTCACTAGTCCCTATTGGAGAATTCTATGCAAAAAGAAATGTTTTTCTGACTAACTTGATTCCCCTTAAGCTTAAAGCTTGTATACATATAAGAAGAACCATGCCAAAAATAAAACTCCAAAGGAAGTTTTGACCAATGGGGCTTCTGGGTTTTCATGTTAATTATTTAAGCATTTAACCCTCTGTCATTATCAACAATCCACAGAAAAGAGGAAAACTCTCTCCAGCCCCATCTCTACCCAAGACTTTTACATAGACGTCACTTTTAGCTTTATGTAATAGCCTCTGTTGATAATAGACTTCTTGCTGTCCCAATTACTTGCATTTTTTTAAATTAAAAGCAAAGAAAAATGCACATTGTTTTTCTTGTGAAACCTTCATACAAGTGTATACTAATGATACCTTAATAAAAAAAAAAAACAGTAACTTTCAACAACTTGAATACTTAAAAAAAAAGAAAAATGTCCACCTTTGCAGAGCAGGATGAGCCCCCACATTTACATAGTGAGATAAGCTGTGCTGTGTTTTTTACTTCTCCCTTCTCTGTCTTTTTCCAATGAATCTCATGAAAAAAGGTCTTTAATTTTCTTTGCAATCACAAGAGCAAGGGCTTGGATTTTCTCATTCCAAATGTTGGACTATGTACACCACTTCTAACCATGAAAAAAAAGCATTATTTCTAAAGATCCTCCCTGCTTTCCCCCCTCTACCTCTTCCTACCATTCTTCCTCTATATGAGACTGTGTCACTGCTTCAACCATGTATCCCTAACATGATAAGAAGTCATGGCCTGCTCCCCACGAGACTGCCTCGGATGACTGCACGTGCCCATTAGCCTGGGACAGTCCTCCTCCCCTGAGTTGTCCTGCCATAATTATTAATAGCTCTCTTTTCGCTCTCCAGATTATTCTCATTTCAATGATCAATTATGTGGTTTCCCTTAGTACATCACCTAATAAAGAAAGAGACAACATTACTGTCTAAGCGTGTATAGAGGTACAGAGCATGGATAAAAACATTAATACCTACTCAGATAAATAATATTCTTTCAAGTTCATGTGGCTGACTGAATGTTTGCCCATACATGTTTTATCCCAATTTAAGGTAGAAACCTAGATGGTGGCTTGTCATGGTAGCCACTCTCCCAGCGAGCTCCCCTCTACACCCAGAAAATTGTACGTTATGTACAAATCCAGAGCATGGCAAACTGAGAGGGGCAACTAGGTAGCAAGGCTACACTCACATAAATGCTACGTCATGGAGTTCTCCTTCTCACCCCAGAGAAGAAATCAGGTTCTACATCACAATAACCACAGGACCAAAAGACAGTTCATCTATTCTGTCTTGTTAGATATCTTATTACATGATACTAACATAGCTGCAGAAAAATGGCTCTCGTGACTCCTCTTCTTAATGCCAGGCACAGTGGTACAAAAAGCCTGCTGAAGGAAATGAGAATGGGTCCCTTTGGATTCTCACAAAGTTTTGATCATGCTAACGAACTGGTGATTTAGGAATGACAGACCTGTCCTGTTGCTTCACTTTTCTTTAAGCCAGACTTACTCAAAAGATTCATCTTAGCATACTCCGCTCATGGGGCCATTTCTAGGACATACTCCTGCACTGCAGCCTCAGAAACTGCCGCTGATAAGCACATGAACACAGCAAGAAACAGAGAAGAAAAATCCTTGTTCTCTGAAACTCTTCCTTCACATTTCTGTCCCTTGGTGTGAGCCCAAGTTGAATTATGACTGAAGTTGTCCCAACTTTGTTCTTTTCACATTGAACCTCGGTTATTATAAATAAACAATTTATGAGGTGCAGCATGTCCGTACTCCTTGGCAATAAGACAGCAATCAAATGTAAGGTCATAAAAATGTCAGGGATCCATATGGTTAATGTGCCTTATGGTAGAACCTCTTTAGAGCAGAAACTCCTCTGGAATTTCTTCAAAAGGAATTCATGCAATCAATTTTTTCTTTCCAGAAATTAGGAGGCATTAACCCATAATAAGCAGTGAGTGTTCCACCAAAGACAGCAATCAAAACCACAGGCCAGCTAAAAAGCATAATCAAGGGCCAACTGTTATTTAGTACTATACTTGAAATGGAATTTTAATTTGTAGCTGATGGAAATGTACAGTTGCTTCAATGACTTTTATTCTGCTCTCTTGTTCATTGTGGAATTCTTTCGTTGTTCAGTATTGTAATGCACATGTAATTCAGGGACAATCACAAATGAGTGATTGTATTTCTAAGCTCTGAGTTTCTCTGTGACTTTTTTCCTTGTTATTAGTGAGCAAGGGTTGTAGTTTGCACTGTCTCCAATCCTAACAGCAGAGCCACTTGGAAATTTGGGGCAGTATAAAAATGTTATCTGCCACAGCACAGCACTTTGGGGCTCTAAATGGGAACTGATGGAGGAGCCCACTTCATACAAGATCCAAGGGCCTGGAACCAGAGCTCCAGAGCCTGTGCAAGTGCTTCTGCTGGAACCTTCCTGCCTCCAGTCTCCTTGGCCCATGGGATTAAGTCCCTGATACGGGCAAGCTGGAAACAGTAAGAGGTTTAAGAAAGGTTTGGCCACCTCACGAATGCCACAGCTGCAAGCAGCTGTTAGTGATCATGAAAGGCTGCCTTGCCCTCCTAGAGAACATTGGCATGTGCAACGATGCAAGCTCAAGCCCTGCACTCCTTTGCTTGGCCATTGCTGGTGTCCGGTGGCCTTAAAGTACCACCCACAGATATCTGGAGTACTCCTTTATTTTAGGGAAATATTAAAATAAGATGACTAGTAAATGTTAAGACACTTTACCAGTGACTTTAGTATTAGAATCACAAAAGATTTTTAAAAATTTTAGTAACATTGTCATTTAAAATGTCCTTGGCTATACTATAAAGATTAATTTCCTGTATCTTCTTCCCATGGGAAACCATTATTGCTATACTTAGCATAATGTATGTTATGGTTTGATCTGTGAAAAAAATTGGCCTTTCAGTTGAAATTTCTAATATATCACATTATGAGTCACTTTGCAGTTATATTGATAAAGGAGATCAGTAAATCCAGTTAAGCTGTGACTGCTATTTCTAATATGTAGGTTTTAATTTGGAAATCTCATTTCAAAATCAATATTCTTAGGTAGCTTTGTAAATAACCACTGTAATATTTATATTTCTAACAGGCTCCTTTTAATAAAGTTACCATGATATGAGCTAAATTATAAAGACAGTGAAATGAAAGTCAGGTTGGGGGGCACATTTTTCCCATGTATTTTAGAAATTAGATCCAGTCCAATAGCTTATAAACATATTTCATTCAGTGGTTTAAAACTTAATGCACCTGGAATCAGACAGAGGATAAAAGGCATGGATGGGTGGGGGATGTGAGAAATAAACTCTAATATCAGTTGTTGATTAAAAGTTACTTAGTACAACAAAGCATTTTGTTAGGAGCACAAATTGACAATGTAATCTGAGTAATTTCATGAAAAAATCTGGAACCATCAGGGCTACAGTAAACTGAGTGTAATTGCTGGATGGCAAATAGGTCCTAGTGAGGTCATGATAGTACAAAATGTCAGTTTTACAACTAATAGAAATATTTAGAAGATAGCAGTCTTCCATCCCTGATGTAGCTCCATCTTTCTGATGAAAAGATGTTTCTCAATTCATAATCCTAAGAACCAGACATGTAGGTTTTTTTAAAAAATAACAATTCTTCGAGAAAACTAAATTGCCTTTCCTGTGACAACACAGACTGCCTGGTAGGATTATCATGTCATATTGCCTGAGAGGGTTAAGACTAGCCATTCAGGGAAGTGGGGGGAGGTTGTCGGGGTGGGTAATGCCTGCACAGACACAGAGGGCTGGCTAAGCTGTGCCTCATCAGCACCCACAAGAAATTTCCATTTCATTTTCACTGTTGAATAGCACAGAACTCTTTATTTGAAACAAAGCTCAATAAGAAAGCAATCAAAATTCAGTCTTATTTTAATTTTTTTATTTTAGTGCTAAAATTTTCATTTTTTAATAGTACCTCATATCTATATCATAGTATATTTATAATATCTTACCCTCATGGCTATGGATTTTTATTATATATAGCATAGATTGCATCATAATTCTCATGAAGGATCTCTATTGCTAAAATAAACCAATTTAATTCAACCTCTTATACTCAACTTCAGCTATCCAAACAATATAAATACCCAAATATTTGGACTGGTGTACATAAATCAACAGAATTGCTGACTGTGTTTTCCACCATTCATTCCAATATTTGATGACACAATATCATAACATGATTTTAAAAGACCTATGTTTGCTGAGTGTATATTTTGTGTTCTGGATTGACTTTCTTTTCAAATAATATTCTTACAATGAGACTCAAAGCTCAATATTTGGAAATGATTATCTTTTTTCCATTCAGATCTCAAAGAATTCATATTTTTGCAATTTGGTTGCATGTGAAAGAATACATTTACAGACATATCCATATATGCAAAACAGGGTATTGTCCTCTCCACCAACTTCCACGGAGTTTAGAGAAGAAGAAAAAAATCATTAAGCATGAGCACAGGCTTGGGGGTGAGTTTTAATAGCAACAAAGAAAAGTAAAGATGAATTTTAAAATGCCATAAATGAATCTCAATTTTAATTCCCCATTTTCCCATCCAGAACAAGTGCCACCAAGGACCAGTTTTCGAATGGATTCCTCTGGCAAGTATTCTTCAGCACTCACGGTCCTGGGACTGAAACATCTTCCATTTTGTGTAACAAATCATTCTTCTGAGTCGTATTAGTGTCTTAGTATGTAATCACTGTGCTAATTTTATTCACCCACATAAGCATGCATTTAAGGTAGTTTGCAGTCTCATCAAGGTGAGCCTCCCTGGCTGCCAAGGAAACAAATAAAAGACAGAGGAAAACAGCCATAGTCATTGATTTCTTTCATAAAATGCTTTAGTAAAAGACTAGATTAAAAACCAGGTGCCAAAGAAAGCCAGCAGACCAACCAGATCCTTGCTGCACAGACGGGGAACTCCCAGCACACGTGGCTCTGAAGCGCCTGAAATGGGGCTACTCTGGACTCAAACGTGCTGTAAGACGTGCATGAAATCCACACTGGATTTCAGACTTATTACCTATAAAAACAAAATGTATAACATCTCATTATTTTTTAGGTTTTTTTAATACTTAAATAATGTTTTGGATATATTAGGTTAAAAGATACTTGATTTAAAAAGTTTGTACCTGTTTCATTTTGCTTTTTAAAATGTGACTACTAGAAAATTGTAAATCACTTATGTGGCTTACATTTTATTTCTACTGGACAACACTGGACTAGAAAAATAGAATTTGGAAGCTAGGGTATCTCAAGAGATTGGCAGTGTAGACATTTTCAAAGAATTCCTAAAATTTTGCTAATATAGAATGAAATTATTTTCAAAGCAATTAAACACCTATATCAATTTAATTTTTTAAACCATGTTAATTACAAAATGCTATGTTTCAATAGTATATTAAGTTCGAATATCATAGTTTCAAGTTTAAGAGATTTTAGTAATAACTAATTTACTTAACAGGAAAAAAAATTTGATCTAACCATTGTGAAAATACTTACCAACTTTGGATTAGGCTAAAATATTTAATGTTATGGAAATGAAGGAGGAGAGGGAAGATTCAGATGTTTTTTGCTCTTAGGAAATGCTCTGAACAGCAGCTTAGACCACTGAATTGAATGCCCGAGCACTGAAACAACTGCAGGAAAGAGTGTTTCATAATAAGAGTACTATTTCAGGGCTGTGGGCACACAGCATACATCTCTCGAGTGTTTCCATGATGACAGCTCATTATCCATCTCAGCATGTTCTAACACCCCTTGGAGAATATATGTGCTTGAGATCATTTCATTCTGTAAGCTTCCATGTCATTTTTTAGATATGTGAAAATATGGAAGATATTGCTTAACATTTTGTCCTCAAATAATGTCTAACATATTTGTTCAACTCGGTAAGAAAATTTTTAAAGGATGATAATATATACTGCCTGTAAAGTCCTTGTAATTTTTAAGAATTTTTTATTTCCTACAGGGAAAATGAGACCTAGTAATTACAGATGCAAAATTAAAGCAAGATTTAATTTGAGATTCTAAATCGAAGCTTACTAGTAACCACAGAAAGCCCATTTCTTGAAAATCTCAGCTTCTGAATGAATTTTATTTAAAAACAAAAGTAGAGCAACCACCTAATAATAGCTTAGATTACCTTGATACTTGTGCAAAATATACTTGTACATTTCATATATATATATATATATTACTTAAAAGAAAAGTTATAAAATAGTTTGAGTACATTATACTGCTATACAATCCAGATTGTCAGGAAAAGAACCAATCCAAATATTTTGTTAAATGTTAACACAATTTATCAGGATTTTCTGAAAATCATGACTGTATCCAAAACAAATAGATCTCCACACTACTCATATTTAAATGTTCTTTATCAAATTATGTGTCATGACTTCTGACTTAGATATATTACCATAACTGTAAGGCATTTTGTTGACTACAGCTACATAAGATGCTTAGTTAGGTACAGAGGCAAAATTGGTAGTAGGAAATTCTAAATAATATAATTATGAAACTAAATATTAACTCTATCATAGAATAATGCTGGGATTTATCAGGTCTACTAGATTGGTGAGTATCTTAAAATAATTAAATCCAAGAAACAATTTAGCAACTCCTACAGGCATTGCTTAGTGGAATACTGTAGACCGATAAAGACAAGTCTGCCATCACCAAGGCAGAATGTTAATGAGAAACAAAGAATCCATAGCCAAGACCTTTGAATGAACAACTCTACCCAATGACAGAAGAGCCACCCAATGATGAGAGAAATGGAGAATCTCAGAAACCCAGAGACAAATCACTTCCAGAAGGAGGACCTTCCTTGTTTATAAACAAAAAAAATCAGGGGCCATAACAGGTGCATCAGAGTATCAAATGAGTCACAGAAATCAATCACAATGAGGAAAGAGTTAATGGCTATTTAATTGGGTCATTACTATGTCACCAATGACCTTAAAGAAAGCAATTGAGTCATACCAAGAGAGCAGAAATCAGACCAGCAGGAGGCAATCGGAGATGGAGGAGTGAAGACCCCACTAGGGACTCCTCATCCAAAAGAGAAACGGGTGGGAAGAGCACAGGGTGTTAGGATGGGGAAATCTGAGTTTACCTGAAGGCTGAAGGAGAGAACCAAATAGAGAATGAAAGGTGTCTTCTACTACAGTTGAACTGTGGCAACATTCATATTACCCAAGGCATAAAGGAAGAAAAATAAAGCAAGAGGATTCTTTTCAGGCAAAAATGTATTAGCTACTTATCTACTAATGTCAGGTTTGAGTAATAGAAACTATTTAATTCCTGTTTAACTCATTCTGTATCTGGAACGAAGAAGAAGTACAGAAGCCAGGGTCATATTTAACAACCACCTTTGATTCCTGATTCCTTCCTAGGTCTCTTTACAAGGAAGAACCAAAAAATAATGCTCTTTTCATCATAAAAAGTTGAATGAATTAATTCTAATGCCAAACTGTGATAATAAGCCCATGGCACTTATGTTTTAATTAAAACATGAAAAAGGATTCAAGTACCAAAATTTAATTGACGTATTTACAACAGCATCCCATGTGCCAAATTAATCCACAAAATGCCGTTCTTTGCATTTTTGAAGCTTGAATCCATTCATAAAATTAATCAGTTGTGTTCAGTCACCTCTCCTTGACCCTAAAAGTGCACAAAGTCATGTCTTTGAAGAGCTAGACCAAGGATACATGGAGCATGTGAAGCCTTCCTGGAGTCTTAATAAGAAATAAAAATCAGCTTTTGAAATTCAGCTTTTCTTTATTATGAGGGAAATTGTCCTGATACCTGAATGTGGCCACCATTTGCTACTTTTAAACATGTTAGATTTTCAATACTAGTGGGAGCCCAGGGTAAATGGGAACTTGTAAATGCCATTTGGGTGGCTTGCTGTGCCACAGTGGTCATGTAAAATCCCATCTGCGACAACTATCTTAAGAAGCTGGGACCCAACTTCTAAGGCAGAAGCAACACTGGCCATGGCTGGCCACTGCACACCCCTGTCCAAAGAGTGTTCTGCTTCTCCTCAGTCAAGTTCTTCACAACAACTGCCCCACCTTGATTTGCACTAAGCAATGCCTGAGCATACCCTGACAGTCCTGCAGGAAAGGCTGAGGGAGAAGATTATAGAAGAGTGCAGAAAGAAAATAAACCAGAAAGCAGAAGAGAAAAATAGGATGTCGGTGGGGGGCATGGTTGAGTGACATCCAAAGTGACTCAGGTTCCACTGGGTGTCCACCAAACCCCTCCATCTAACAGCTTTCCAGCTGCATGATTTGCATACCAACCGGAAAGAGGGAGGTGGTTGTTAAATTCAGTTGCAATGGGGTGAAGAGTTGGCTCTTGGATTTTTTTTTTTTTTTTTGCTTTAAGTCCTTGCAAAAGTGCTCTAAAAAAAAAGCTACATCAGGCACATGAGTACATGTATAAACTGTGCAAGACTCCACAATCAGGAGAAGAGATAAACCATGACAGAATATTTTAAATGTGTCACCAGGCAAGAAGACCAGCCAAAGGAAAGCATCAGGAACATCATAATCTTTCCAGAAAGTTAACAAAGCAGGAAGGAAAAAGAGTGATGTGCATATAATTTTAGTTATTTTCTAAAGCCAGGCTCAAATGGGGCAAGTGGGAGGAGAGAAGAAACCAAAGACAAATTACCTTTCTAAAGGTTCTTGTTTACCCTAAAAGAAAAGAAGTAGGACTGCCTTGAGGCACAATCTATCATTTAAACTTTTTTTCCAGTTGACTATATTTCTCTAAAGTTTCCATGCCCTGCAGCCTGAGTCTGTGCTCAAAATTAACAAAGAAATAAAAAATAAATCCCGTCTGCTGGCACACTTCTCTAATGGGTCTCTCTGCCTCTCTCCACTGGGGCATGTTCCACGAAGCCGCCGTTGCTGCCTGGGAAATGCAGGGCGAAGATGGCACCAGGGCACAGGCCCAGGAGAGCTGGGATCAGAGCGGCCACACAAACAGGCGGGAGAGCATGGTGACACTGAGGTGCCCACCAAGGACAGGGGCAGAGGATTTGTGAAAACCCACTCACATCTGCTCTTCAGAGTTAAATAAAACCAACCAGCTAAATCTATATTTTTTCACCAAAAAAAGAAAAAGAAAAGAAAATGGAGTTCTGAGTCATTCATGAAGAACAGGCTTTCCAGTCCCCTGAGGAGTCACAGTATTCTCCGACACAAGATGACCCCCTTGTGCCTTAGCCGATCTCAAAATTCCATTACTGGGATTGTCGTAATTCCAGCATTTCTTTTGGGGAAAGTTTTACTTAGCAAATAAAATGGATCAAACAGTAAATTCCTTTTAGCGTTCTTCATGCAGTACGGATCGGTGCTGAAGCCATTGCAGGAGCAGCTTCCCACTTACCCATCCTCACTGGTGATGCAAAAATTAGACCAAAAGAATAGATAAAAAGTTCTGGTTAAACATATTCTTGCTCTATTATTTTAAGTGCCAAAAATGTATCATGCTTTGTATTTTTTCTATGTATATGGTCTAGAGTCCTCCAAGCTTAAAGTAACCTAGAGAAAAAATTGCAGTGAGCACTTGTATCACAAGCAACTTTTAGAGGTTTGAACAGTGATAGGGCATTATCTATCATTTTCCATCTCCCCATGTCCTTCTGCCTTCCTTTTGATAATTGCAGGTACCTGCTGTGATTTTACAGGGTTGGAAGACCTGCTTTCACAGTCCCAAAGGCTTAGCACACCCACAATATGTGATTTCATGTATGATTTTTTTTAGACCCCATAATAAACTGACTTCAGAGGTCATTTGTGACCTGTACAGGGTGAAGTTTTCATCTTCCTTTTACCACCCAACTCTAATTAACTATTTAATAGGAGCTGAGTTCTTCTAAGTTCTCTCCTCTTTAAAATATGAATGAGTATCCAATTCATGAAGGGTGACTAATGGTTGTGGAGATGCAATTGGTTAGTCTTCTTTCAATTTTATATTAGTCATTGAATGGAAAAGATGGGTCATATGTGCTTCTGATCAGCAAAGGGCATGCATGATTGTGGAGTCTTGCACAGTTTATACATGTACTCATGTGCCTGATGTAGCTTTTTTTTTAGAGCACTAGACACATAATCAGCTTATGCTGCATTCCAGAAGTGAATGACGTGCTTTTTGTGTATCACAGGGAATGCACGGCCCAGGCTGGAGGACACCAAGGCAAGCCCAGTATCATGGTGCCTCATTTACTGTATCGCTTGAGCAGCCCCACTGACTATGGAGCCTGCAAAAGATCCACCTGGCTGTCAGTCACTGAGTCTCTCTCTCAGCTGTCTGTACATAGATAAATAAATACTGCTATGTCTCCCAGAGGCTCAGGTGTAGCTTCCTGTCTCATGAGGATTCTCCTCTGAAACCCCATCCTAATTTCCAAAACCATCCTGTTTAAGCAAGGAGAATTTAACTTAATACCTGCTTCTGTCAGTTCTAATACCGCCTTTAAACCATTAAGGCCCAAAGATGGCTAAATACTTCTTAAGCAAAGGATGACATTAAGAAGTATTCCCCAAAGTTGTTGATTATCCATTGACATCCTAACAGTGGTCATGAAAGTCGTGACTGAGACATTTCCCCTGAGGACAGTTCAAAGGGCCAGGTGCAGGGGGAAAACATAAATCATATTCTCCTTAAAAAGTCAAAAAGTGTATTACAGTTTTAGTATATTCTAGGGTTGAAAGAAGATGACATTCAGAAGAGTTTCCCAGCTTATTTTTAAGTACATCTCTGTTCTTTCTGCTAACTGCAGAAAATATCCCTCTTCTAGTGTATTGTAAGTACACTAGTGAAGTCAATAGTAAATCTACTAGTGGCTTCCACATTTTTAAATGTTTGGGAGATAAAGAATTCACTTAGACCCAGGTGAATCTCTGTCCCTAAGTTACAAAAAAACTAAAGGAGTTTGTCAGAAAATAAAAACTTCACTCAAACCGCAACAGAGAAGTTTAACTTCCGTACTTCCTAATTTTACTATTTCAAAAGAGACAACTTCTGTTTGGTGTAAGTTTACATTCCCGCCACTCCACCTCACTCCCACATTAAACTGGATGCATCGAGTCATGAACAGATATTAGTGATTTGCTAGGTAGTCCTTTCCCAAGGAGTTCCAGGATGCTGCCATCTATTCTCTCATACTTTAAAAACAATCATTCCAGCCAGAGTAAACACCCTCAAAGTGACAGCCAGTCTTCTTGAGGGCAATCTGAATGCTCTCAGGAAAACAAATTACAGAGTCATCATTTTTCTCCACTCTGAAAACCCGTGTGCCTTTCTGCCTGTGGTGTTACCCTGGCAATGCCCTTGGCTGGTTTCTGTTGATCCAGAGACTGCCAAAAGTTGGAATACCTACTTTTTTGTTACCATGGTGTTTTTATCCTCTGTGCTCCCCACTGACTCTGACAGCACTCCCATTAATCACATCCACAAAATTAATTTATCATTGGTGTGTTCATTTCCTCAGGGGGTGGGGAGGAGGCAGGATGCATTACTCAATGGGATCTCCTCTGTGCCAGGTCCAGATTATAAGGAGCTGGATGTTCACCTTCGCAGGATGGAGTCTGGATTTGGCTTCAGAATCCTCGGGGGAGATGAGCCTGGACAGCCTGTAAGTTGAATCCTCTCTTTCCACGCTGTGTGTGTACGCACAAGGGAAAAATTCAGTATGACATCTAAAAGGAAATCTTTCAGGACTCACATTAAAAAGTTTGAGGTTTGTTTTCCTTTGCTACTTCAGTCCTCAAAACACACCAGTATTTCCCTGCCAATATGTCATCCTAAGTCAATGCACCTACATTAAGAGAGGGACATTACTCTTTCTTAGAATGGATTGGATTCCTTTTGAACATCTCAATTATTTAATTGCATTGAACCCCTAATCTCTCTGGGCAGCAGCTCACAGGTAAGCAGACAGTATGAGAGAAGATACATGTGAAGAGGTGACTTGGAACAGCAGAATTATGTATGTTTTCGATCAAAACTACAGGGGAGAGAAAACACAGAGATAAACAGAAGTAAAATCAAGCTCAGTATGTGTACATTATATATATATATATATATATACACATACATTATACATCAGAGTAAAAGCATAGAAATATAAATATTCATTAATAATATAGAAAACATAGCAAAGCTATGCTTATGAGTACCTATTAAAGTATCAGTCATAAAACACTCATTGTAAAAGATATGTCCTAAATAGTATTCGATGTGATAACTCAGGCCCTTAATAGGTTTGAAGAAATGACATCACACCCCAGCTGGCCTGCCTGTATCCCACCCTAGCTCATGCAAGGGACTTAAGCTGTAAGCCTCAGTTTCCTCATCTGTAAGATGGGGGTAACAATAATATTCTTTCATAGAGTTACTTTAAGAACCAAAGAAGATAACTTATGTAAGGCTCTTGGTATTGTGCCTGGATCATATTAGGTGTTGAATAAATGTTCTTCATCATCATTTTTCTTGTTTCAGAAAATAAAACTAGAACCACTGATGGGCAGAAATTTTCAGGAGGAAAAAAAGTTAATCTAATGAACAAAAGGAATCTATAAAAAGTAAACATGTCCCAAAGTGAAGTAGATTGTGTTAGTGAGACAGTGAGCTCTTTTCCAGGAGAGGCGTTCAGGCCGTTGATAAGAGCCTGCCTGGAGCCCCAGGAGGCCTGCCCTGCAGGAGGAGGCAGACCACATGACTGGTGAGGTCCCTTACCACAGGACTCCCAGGGGCTGAGCTCGGGCTCCAAGGAGGAGGGTGCACCAGGGAAAAAAAAATTCCTAGGGATAATATTTGGCAATAGTCAATCAGAATGTCACTAATTGTCCACCTGCCAGAGAGGATGTAAAAGTGCATTTACCAAGGAAGATAATCTGGATTTTCCTTCTTGGGTTTTGGGAGGAAAGGGTACTGAGGTAAAATCAGGGGCTTAAATTTATTCGGACACTAAATTAAGGATCTTGTGGTACAGGTAGATGGAGCAAATCTCAGTTACATTTTGCTCCCTTCACCAAGTGGTTTCCCTCTCTGTCACCTGATCCTGAGTTTCCCAGGGATCTCAGCTGCCTGGTCAGCCCTCCAGCTTGCCCCTCTTGATAACTCCTCTTGTATCATATCAAGGGCTAAAGAAATGCCAGTCACTTCGCGTATGTAAACATTTGACCTCCTGGCCTCCACACTTTATTTGTCTCACTTAGCTTCCTTCAGGATTATTCTCTGACATACTCATTCATCTGCCTATTTGGTGCGATCAGTGAGATTTTAAAATCCCTTCTAAGCAGGGACTCGAGCTTCCCCTTTCTATTCTCCTTCAGTGCCCCATAATGAAAAGTGTGCCGGCGGGACCAAGAGTTTAGCCAAACCCGACGTTAAGGCCCAGACTACCAAGTTTCTTGACACCATTCCAACTTCTGGACACCAGCTGCAATGAGTTTGGAAAGCTGCAAAGTCAATGGGAAGAGTCTGCACATGACCTCCCTCACTTCGGACACCAGCTGCAAATGTAGGGGTCCCCGTGGCCTCCCTCAGATTCAGTAATTCACTAGAACAACTCATGGAGCTAAGGAAAGTGCTATACTTAAGATTACAGTTTTATTATAGTGAAAGAGCACAAAGTAGAACCAGCTAAAAGAAGATGCACCTAGGACAACATCTGGAAGGGTTCCACACACAAAGCTTCCATCATCCTCAGGGGCACATGACCCTCCCAGCATCAGTGCAGAGTGTTGCCAGCCAGGAATGCTCACCCAGGTTTTGGTGTCCAGAGTTTTTATTGGGATTTCATTATGTAGGCATTGAGGTGATTGGGCTGATGTCACATGGCTCAAGGCCCAGCCCACCAATGACATGGCTGGTCGCTCTGGCATGGGCAGCCCCCATCGTAGGACTGCTGGTGTACCTGGCTCCACGCTGAGCCATCTCTTTTAGCATAAATTATCAGCTACCCACCAAGAAAATCTCCTTTGTAGTATCAACTCTCAGGTCTGATCCAAGGGGCTCACTCTGAACAGTGAAGACAGTCCTGTTCCAAGGTTGAAGAGGTTACCTTCCAGAAAAGTACAGACCTCTCTCTGAGCTGAGGCCACGGTATTTATTATATGGCTATATGCATAAAAGATACCAAGTGAAGGACACAAAACAAAACTCTGTCCATAATAAGTGACACTTCAAGGTGATCTTTATAGCATTTTGTGGGATACTGAGATTTTTGTAGAGCAGTTGAGGGTAAATCCATTAGAATCCATTGCACTATTATATTATACTAACATATAGGATACTAATATAATGCTTCAAACATACCAACCTAAGGGGTCTCCAACAGAAGGATCTGCTTATTCCAGAAGGTAATGAATGATTGACATGCCTTCTCTTTACTAATCTGTGAGTTCCTTGAAGGCAAGAGCCATGTTTTAATGGTGTTTGTTTCTTCCAAGCCTAACATAGAGCCTAGCATAACAGTTATTTGTTAAATGAAACTGAAGAAAGTCCTCATCAAGCCAAAACAGTCACCTGAGCTCCTCAGAATTCTTCCAAGCCTAACATAGAGCCTAGCATAACAGTTATTTGTTAAATGAAACTGAAGAAAGTCCTCATCAAGCCAAAACAGTCACCTGAGCTCCTCAGAACAAATAATTATCTGGAGTTTTCTTAGACCTCTAAATCCTACAAGCTTTATAGAATGAAAATGGCCTAGTCCCAGAAGCAGGGATGGTTTTCTGGCAGCTCTACAACATACCTTGGTCCACTTACCCAGTGTTTTAAAGTCGTTTAATATTAATGAATTTCACATTTTGAAAAATTCAGATTTCCATCGCCTCTTGAAAAACAGTTCAAGCAGCATCTAGCTTGCCTTTCTCTATGATAACTGGCTGGACCCAAACAGAGGTCCCAATCTAGACTGAACACGACTACAATTTCCAAAACCCTCTTATGCTCATTTCACTCATTTAGTCTACTATCTTGGAGACTCCCATTCCAGAGGATTGGATTGAAAGAAATTGAAAAGATGAATATTTTCCATTAAAGGAATCTTCAACCAGAATCAGATCATGGTTTTTATAGGCCCTATAGCACTGAAATATTAAGTCCCTTCCCTTATATACACATACAAATAAAAGATTATACTATAAAATAAATGTAAGGGAAACAAAGTTCCATTTCTTCCCCTGATACTTCAATACAGTCTTTGAAATACAAAATTCTTGCTTTGCTGGAACCTCCCTATGAGTTATGCTTTGTCTGCTTGGAGATAAACTAGCAAAACTAGCACCACCTTCAGGAAACATCTTCACAGGTCTCCCCCAGCCTGGAGGCAGGAGGGGTTGCCTGGCTTAGTCGCAGGAAGGGCCTACCTAGTGAGCTGGCTCAAGAAAGGAGAGGTCTGGCCGAGCTTTGGTGCTTTGGCACAGAAGCAGTGGGATTGTTACCCAAACGGAACACATGTTGCTCACATCAGCTCAGGCACGTCAGTGCAGCGTAGTCGTCACCCAGCCTCAGGAAGGCATTCTGCCTGGTGGACACACAAGTGCCCAGCCTTTCTGAGCACTGGCCCCGCATGCCTGAGTCCCCTCCCCGCTCTGGTGGGCAGGCATCCGGTCTTCTAAGAAGCCTCCTCAGAGTCCAGGGAGGGTTGGCTTTCCGCATTGGGTTATTTGAATTTATTCTGTTTCATTCTTTCATTTGAATGGTTTAAGACACACTCAGGCAGCAGGTTACAGTTTTGACACTGAAGCCAGCAAGTCGAAGCCTGAGCCTCCCTGAAGCCAGCAGAGCCAGAAGGTGCTGTGCTGAAGGGCTGGGTGTCGCGCCCCGGGGCGGCCGTGTCCGGAGCAGATCCGCCGCGGGGCTCTCCCCGAAGCCTGAAGCCTTTCCTTCCTGCTCGCCTCCATGGAAGTCCGGAGATAATCTACAAATGCAAATGCACTAGCCTCATCTAATTGCCAACGTGCTACAGAGGGAGAGGCGCTTGAGGCGCCTTGGTCCCCGACCACAGGAGATCTCATAGATTACATCAAACGGCTTTCTGCTTCCATATATATGAAACGGTATTGATTCTCAGGGTGCACATTAAACACGACACGCGGCTTTCGGCAAATAATGAACAGCAGGGCCCCAGCTAAAGCATATGGGCATTTTTCCTGCAAGAGGAAATACTTTTCACAGTTAAATAACAATAGAAATAGAAAGAAATGGAAAATGGCCAGAAAGGAACAAAAATGGGGTTTCCAGCTGTGAGCTGAAAAGAGATGGGAAGGCACCAAGATGGAAAGATTTGGAAAGCATAGCAGTGGAGAAAGGCCTGTGAGAAGCAAAGCTGTCCAAATAAAGAGAAAGTTAATGACAGACATACTCCGTGGCACGGGAACCTGGTGCAAACTTGTGGAGGTTTCAGAAGGCAAGGACCTGAAATCTGCTCCCCACTGTCGAGTTGTCCCAGGCTATAATTACTGCACATCAGCTCTACTGGGCTAGACTGCCATTATTAGGCAGGGCAGGAAAGAGCTACAGTGTATTTTGTAACACTACAGAATGTAAATGATTGAGACCTCCAACGCCTGCCTTAGAGATTCAAAACCCATCATTCCTTAGCTTGGTATCATTGTTAAATTTGATGCCAGAGTAAGTGAACTACTTTAAGGTGGATGTTTCCCAGAATAAAGTCCTGCCGAGGTGGTTTCAGTTTGCTTTTGTGTCCTCTGGCTTACTGGGCTATCAGCCCCGTGAATGTGAGTGGCTGTTACTTCATATCAAACATTCTGCTTTGTTTCATGCCCTCGCAGAGGAGTTGTGGCATTGTTTTGATACTTTTGTTTTTAAGAAGACGATTGGAAAGATAAGGCCATGGGGACCAGTAGTTCACGGCATCAGGGGACAGTCTTTCTTGATCTGTTTTGCCACAGAGCTCCTTCTTCAGGGCCAAAGCAATAGGGGCAGCATAAAGAACTCATCCAAGAGCACTGAATAAACTGGTACTTGGGACCGAAGGGCCCCCAGAGACTGAAGAATTCAGGGAGGCCAGATGGACATGTGAGCAGAGGGAGGCCAGTGTAGCCAGGGGTCAGCAGGAACAGAAGGAAAATGTAGGCTGCTGGGCCTGGGCACCCACGCATGCACTCAGGGGGTGTCCTTCAGAAGACCTGGGAAGTGACAGGCATGATGGGCAGGGAGCTCAGGCCAGGCACCAGAGGGAAAGTCCTTCAGCATACTTGGAATGTGATCAGTGAGACCACAGTTCCTGTAGCCACTGGACCAAGTGGGAATATGCAGAATCTTGCTATTCAAAGTGGAATATATCTATAAGTCAGATGCAGCCAACATCTCTTGGGAGCTAATTCAGCATGCAGGATGTCAGGTTCCACCCCAGTCCTGCTGAATCAGACTCTTGGGAGTAGAGTCAGGACACTATCTTTTAACAAGCTCACCAGGTGACTCACATGCTCTCTGAAGTTTTAAAACTACTGAATTAAAGGATCAGATATCCTGAGGCATGTTCTCAAGAGCTTAAGCAAACATGAGAATGTATATACGTTTGGAAGCCAGTATGAGTTACAGCCTAAGAAGGATTCATAGATTATCTAGTCCCTGCAGTTAATTTGACAGACAGGAAATAAACAGAATGTGTCAAGTATACAAAGCATATTTGAACCAAAGGAAAAAAACCAAAGGGTGTTTTTCTTGAACAGAAAGACTAGCTCTGTGTCAGCAGTGAAATATAAAGCATGAAGGTGCAGTATGGCCAGTGGGTGAGCCAGAAGCAGGGCTGGTGGGCGTGGTCAGCCTGTTCCCCACGGAGATAGGTAGCAGCTCCTGATGGATGCAGCAAATGTAAAGAATATATACAGCTAATGAACAAGCAGCTCTAATGCCTGCTCCAGTCCACTGCCCCCAGCTCAATTCAAGTTCGTATAGGTATAACAACCTTGTTTTGAAACAAGATAGAGGATGTATTATATAATAATATGTATACATATAATTACATAATACTTCATGGTGTATTATACTGAATATATTAGTTATGAATAAATATATAAGATTTGATAGAATGAAGTAAAATATGAAGGTGAAATCTTCAAGTTTAAAAAATATGTGTCTGGTAAACTTAGGTCTTTGCTCAACATCAGCTTCTCCATGAGGTCAGCTCTAACCAGCAGCCCTAACACTTCCTCAGCCACATACTGACACTTACCCACCACTCCACTTTGCTCTGTTTGTTCTGCAGAACGCGCCTGCTAGCATACAACATAACTGACACATTTATTACATTTATCACTGTCTGACCACTAGAATGGAAGGTCTCTAGGGCAAGGACTTTTATTTATTATTCACTTATGGATTCTTAGCACCTAGAGGGTTACCCAGGATCAAAGAAAATTTTCTGGATAAATGAATCCATTAGTGAAGACAGTTTGTTATTATCACAGCAATACAGCAGAAAATGTTTTACTGGGATTTTCCTTTTGGTGGATGACAGTGAACTACTAGCACAGAAGATAACTTCAGAAGTATCTGTCTATTTTTGCTGTTTTCCTTTATCATGAGAGGAATGGGAATTTTCCACTGTGAAATTTCATTTTTACAATTTTTGTAGAGGGCCCAATCGCAGCTGTGGCTTTCTTGGCTATAACCTGGTTTTTTTTGTTTACTTTCATCAGTTAGAATCAGACTTATAGCTTAAAGTTGGTAATTAGCCAGCCAAGGGGTAAATGAGCCATTTTTTCCTCTGAAACTAGCTATAAACTCTCCCACAAAAGCATACAGGAAACCTAAAGGTGGAAGCGTTTTCTTTAGCTAATCCAGCTAAATGCAGCTTTTCAAAGGGCAGTGGAGAAACATAAACAGTCATTTTAACTGGCTTTGGCATAAAGCACTTAACCAAATCTTTAAAGCACTCCTTGGTGGACTGAGTCTTTTGAAGAATAGATTGGAACATCTTTAGAAAGAGGCTCATAAATTCAAGTTGGCATGACAATAAGGGAAAAGGAGATTATCAGAAGCAAACCCAACTGCTGGGCTGGGCTGCGGCAAGTGGGTGCGGAATGTCGCAGGGAAGGAACTGTGCTGTGTGCAGCCAACCGAAGGCAGGAGATGGGAGGTCCTTCCTGTGGAAACAGTGATGAGTCACCCGTTGGAGCACCAAGATTCAACATGGAAGCGAATCTACTCCCCACCCCACACCCAGCCCCCTCTGTAGAAGTGGGAAGCTTTCACTGCTATGGATAAAGAGAGCTATCCAGTGAAGCAAGTCGATGAAGTTCTCAAGAGGAAAGAAAACTCTTCTCACTATAATTTTGCACCCACCTGAGAAGTCCTGGTCATTCAGATCTGGTTGCTATATTCCTGGGCCCCGTAAGCAGTGTGGCCAAGTCAGAAGAAGCCAGGCTGCTGCCAAGCCTGGAGACACGCAAGCCTGCAGGTCAAGCCGGAGCAAATGAGCTGGAATCTACGTATCTGGGATTTGAAAGAAATTACTGTGCCTGAAAGAAATCAACCTGTGAACAAAGGTTCATTTTATAAAGACTTAAAATAAAACCTAGATTATAGCCTCTGTAATATTATCAGGCTAACGGTAACCACTGCCTTCAGATGCCATGTGGCTAAGCCACTTGGCAACAGAAAAAGGTTATCTGTTGTCCATGAGTTGGAAGTATTGTTTGTAGGTTAAACCACAAAACTAAAATACTTAGTCCTATTTATTGTCTTTCCTCTGAGAAAGAAAAAATGTCTGCTAATGGACACCAAATGGAGTGTTTCTAATGGGAAGTGGGAAACCTTATGTTACACCTTATCACAGTCCCTGGTTCAGAGAATTGTAACAATTCACATGCTTCCCAGATATGTATCTCCCCATTTCCTGGTATGATGACCACCTACACAGCAGAAGCATTGCAGGGGACAGAGCTAGGAGAGTCCTTGGTGCAGAGGACAGTGCTCTACAGAAGTATCTGAAGGAATGGAGCAAAAAACTGGAAGAAGTTTGAGATTTTCTTTTCACTCAGCTGGCCAGCAAAACCAGCTATGAGCTTTGCCTTGTTTTGTTTTCTCCTTCCTTCCAGCCTTCCAAAGCAAAGCAAACAAATAAAAATGAAAACAAAAGCTTTGAACCTTCATCAGAGTTTAGTAATGTGGAACAACTAGTTCCCCCTGATGTTTTTTTGAGCACTATGTGCCATGAGCAAAGTTGAATGCTTCACATGAATTGTTTCATTCAGTTCTCCCAACAACTCCAAGAAGTAGGGTCTATTGTTCTGTTTTCCCATATTGCAGGTGAGGAAACTGAAGCTCACAGAAGCTAAGAAGCCTTGCTCAAGGCTGCACAAATAAGAAATGGAGCCAGGATTCAGAGGCCAACTTGTTTCCATTCAGAACCCATGCACAGATTAGTTGGGGTTAGAACTTTTCTTAAGGGTGATCATTTGTGAGCCAGGCAGTAAGTGTCCCCCAAACTTCATAGCCATCAGCAGCAAGTTCAAAATATGTATTTCTTTAGAGGGAGTTAGCAACCTGGAAGAGTTGGAAGGGCACCTTCACTCTCTTGTTTTTCACTTTTCAAGTACATACTCAGGTTTGTAGCAAGGGCCAGAATGTGGAAATGAAATCTCCCACCAAGTTACACACATACATATATAGAAAAAAAAAGGGTTTGACATGTAAATCTCTTCCTTCTCACTGCTTCTCTAGATTTTGATTGGAGCTGTCATTGCCATGGGCTCAGCTGATAGAGACGGCCGCCTACACCCAGGAGATGAGCTGGTCTATGTGGATGGGATTCCTGTGGCCGGCAAGACCCACCGCTATGTCATCGACCTTATGCACCACGCAGCCCGGAATGGGCAGGTTAACCTCACTGTGAGAAGAAAGGTGCTCTGTGGAGGTAGGTAAACTCGAGCTCACAGCAAGAAGTGGGGGTTTCATGGTGAGATGCTTATGTGAAACATGGTAAACACTTGACACAAAATTTTAAATCCATTTCTATACTACATGAGGAAGGACATCAACCTAGGTATTCCAAATGTAACTGTGATTTTGGAAGTTTTGGAAGTGCAGATTTTCACTCCACTAGTACAGTTCCAAGCAGTATTTGATGTATACATTTTCAATGTACTCATTAAAAATTCTAGAAAAGCCTGCGGCTAATTTAAGATGGGTGTGTTCTTTGCTCCCTGGTAGATGCTAGTTATAAAAAGAACGTTATATTAGTGAAAAATACAGCTTTTGGAAAATTTCCTCATTGTGTTTACAAACCAAGAACCACAGCATTTTGATACCATTGTAATGCAACTAGGGTGGAAAATTAGCTTCCATTGTAGAGCCTGATAAAAGGTGACAATAAAGCTATTACCCTGATTTGGAAAAATACAGCTGTACGTCACTCTGATGAAACACAATTCGTATAACTCTGAACTTACGAAACAGGTAAATTAAAAGTAATTATTCCCTTTACAGCCATTTTCCCAGCTTCATAAAAGAATCTACCAAAGAATACTTTCAAAAGTCAGCCCTCATAGTCATAATATAATTCAGCTTGTCTCTCTTCACAGTCTCAAACCCCCAGAAAAGATTAAAGGATATGTATGTTATGAGCATCACACTATTTTTTATAACCTGAGCACTCAATAACATTGGAAATGTAGTCCTAAAGCCACCCATGCTTTGCCCTGTGAACCTCAGGAGCAATGTTATTTATTCTGTTGTCACTTTCTGCCTCAGGGGCCTGCTGGCCTCTCCGCTCAACCTCCTGACTGCTCCTCATACAGAACAATGCTAGAGTTGGGAGGGACCTTAGTGACATGAGCTCTCTCGTATTGCAGATGAGGAACCTGTGGCTCAGCAGTTCAGTAGCTTGCCCAGTAATCTGCAGTGAGTCGGTGCTAATTCCAAGACCCTTATCTCCCCAGCCTGTACTTATTTCCTAATGCTACTCTTGGTCCCTCTCCCTGCTGCACCACCATCCTCACCTCCACTGAATTCAAAGGCATTAGACCAGCCTTTAGCAAATATCACTCCTTAACATAAGGAGTCTTCCATATGTCTTATTATTATAACACATTTGAATAAAAAATGGGGCCCCAGGCTAATCACATGCTATGAATGACTAGAAAGGATAAGGTTTATTAGTCAAACTAAAAGTCCTCTTCTGTTCAATCTTCTAGAAACCAGACTTTGATCAAGGGCAGTCATTTAAAAGGGCAAGTCAGAAGAATTGTCAGCCCTCACCAGTAGTGACTGCTATATATCTCATATGGAGGTTTCGCTAAAAGGTGCCATTCGTCTTCAGAAATTCATGGCATACCACTTGACCCAAAGAAGTAAAACACCTTAAATTATGCTTTATCCTTGGGCAAGACACCAGGAGGAAGATAGTGTTTACTTGGTTAACATTTAACTGTCTTTCTCCCTACAGAGTGATTTTTAATAAAAAGTTGGCTGTTCTATATGTTATGTAACCCAAAAATGAATTAAAAAGATACCTGATTTACAAAGAAATACACTGCAAAGTGTAAAACCAGTACACCAATATAATTTCATGCTCCCCTGCCACCAGCTGATTATTACAAATTAAATTTTGTTCTAATCAACCCAAGCTATTGGGAGTCACTGCAAAAATGTATTCTTGCATCTTGTGCATCACGTAACTTCTGTGAAGATGCTCTTTGCTGCAGTTCTTACAGCTTTACTCATTTAGGCTTTCGAGTGCATTTCAAGTGCATTTAATTTTTGAAAATGTTCCACTGTAGACTGCTCATTCACACCAGGAGAGTTTCCAAGTTAATTCAGCCCACTCTTCCTTGAAAGCTTCATCAGTATTGAAAATGATTAAGTTCAGCAAAGAATACTTTGATAGTAAAGTAAATGCCTAGACATGGGATGCAACAGAATTTTTCTTAAAAGGCATGGGAAGACAGCCTTTCTTCATAGCTGCCATTTCTCCAACCATGAGAAGGGACAACTACAAATGGATATAATGGTGGAGGTGACTTTTCAAGGCTGTTGTTATCATCATCATTTGCTTCCTAAGCAAATGCAATGGGAGGTGGTGGAAGGTGCAAGCTTGGCATCTCATCAGATGGTTCAAAGCTGAAGGGAAGTGAGCAATCAGCTTGTGAAGACGCAAGATGAGCAAGAAGTGGGGCGGTGTTGCCACCTGCCTGCTCGAAAGAGTCATATTATGGAGAAGGAGCTGGAAAAAAAAGAGGTCATAGGGATTACACCTTCCAGCCTCATGCTTGCCTTGGCTTGTACAACTATCCTGCCCCACCTCAGAAGACACTGGGCCCTGGCTTTCTAGTTGATGCTTGAGAAAAAAAAACACATCCATTAGGAGAGATACAGACTGGTTAGTTACACTGAGCAGAAATTAAAATAACACAAAAACCTGCTGTACATTATGAAATACAAAAAAGAGTACACACTACAGATAGAAAGGCAAAATTTTCAATTAAGCACAACAACCTAGATCCTCCAAGATGGGAAATTGTGAGATAAAGGAAGAAAACATCTAGTAATGCATCCAATTTTATTTCCCAGATAATTTTAGCACAGATCTTGCTCCTTATAGTAGTTTTGAAATACGTCTTATCCATGCTATACCAGCTCCAATATTTAGCTGTTTTTTCCCAAGGAAAGTAGAAGAGTGGTTTTAATTATTACACTGAAAATATAAATTTTTATATGTTTAGTAGCTCAGCTTTGAGACACTAAACCTAATGACACATTATTTGGAATACACACTACACATCTGAGAGAAGGGTGTCTCTGAAGAACTTCCTAAAGTGTAAATGTGGAGTTGATGTGCAAGAAGGTTGTATGGCTTAGTCAAAACATGTTAGAGTCTGTCTTAAAGATATGCATTTATTTTCTCTAAAACTTAAGGGAAAGTCTGATTCTTAGCCTAATGCTGAGAAAGGGAAAGTTTTCTTGGCAGCTGGTGAAAAGTTGAGCCAATCTTTACAGTGTCAATGGACTTCCTGGTCCAGGTCACTACACTTTTTTGACAACTCTAAATGCATTCCCTTGTTCATCTGTGAATATGTCACCCATTTAAATAAGTTGTCCGTCTCGATGAGTATAAACCAGCAGTTCACCCACTCAAGTGCTGCAGGCAGGCCTGCCCCCATGGGCTGCCCCCGCTCCATCAGGCACCACGAGGGGGCACATGCATGTGGACACTCCAGCTCACGTGTCCAAGCTCTGTCCACACACATGCCCCATTGCCTCAGCAAGCTTCCAGACAAGACATGTACATCTGCTGCACCTTCATCCTTCTGGAGGACGGTCCTGAGAAGAGGACCAGGCACTCTCCAGATGCAGGCAAGGTCTGTTCAGATGCAGAATCCTCAGGTTCCTGGCAGTGTGTGATCTAGAAGGAAACAAGGGCTCCGACTGAGCAAGCCCCTTGGCCCTGCATACTCACAGTGCAGGTAAATGAGCAAATTAGGAATTCGCAAGAGACACTGAGGACCTTGTTGCCTTGCAAACTGCATACTCATCAAGGGAGCAGTCATTGCTCAGATCTTGCTGATTATTATCACTCATTTCAAGAGAAACTGGAAATCTGTATTTCTGTAAAACCTCCCTATATCAAAACATTGGCAATTAATGTTAACAATTTTTAAATTAAGTATAGGCCAGCACTGTGCAGGAATGATAAAGGGATCTGTGGGCCAGGAGCAGTGCTGGTAATTGGCTGCTGTAGTCAAAGTCATCTCACCTAGACGCCATTTTCAATGACTCCTGCCTTCCCAGTGGGGACCCTCTCCCAGTCAGCACAGTGAGGATTTCCAGTATGACTGCTGAGGACTAAACAGAAGTTAAGCTAAAAATTAATTATTTGATTTACATAGATACTAAGTAACTGAATTCTGCACACCCATTTTGGTGTGAGTCAGAGGAAGAGATGGGTGCTGGAAATTAGTGAATTTTTTTAAAATTGCACAAGGCATTTAGACACTCTATAACATTTTACTCTATCATTCTAAAACAACACTGTCTGTGCCCTATGCCAGAAGGGTGGTTAGCAAGAAAGCTTCATTTGCATGTAGACCGAGCCAAGCGGAAAAATGACGTGGAGTCCATGTGTCCCTCCAAGTCAGTCATTAGAAATCTTCTTAACTCTCTGGTCTTAAATGTGCTCGTATTGTTAAAGATAAAGAACTTCATTCTAGAGGCTGAAGGAGAAGTCTGAAAGCAATAGAAAAGTATTCTGGTAATGTGTTTGACTCACTTACCTTGCAACCACTCACGCTCAGTAAGTGATTTTCTTTCCACTTCTAGAATACGGACACGGCCACTCCCAGCCATTTACTGCAAAGACAGATCATTTTCCTTTGTTGCCACTTCATGGACAACCACAGCTCTCAACCCCCTAAAATATGCCACTTCATGGACAACCACAGCTCTCAACCCCCTAAAATATGACAGCCGGAAAATGAGATGTCTCTTGTCAGTGCCTATGACATTCAGTTGCTGATTTGGTCCAATAATTCAGGCAGATTTTCAATTGCAGAATAATAATTGTTTGTTTTTCTTCTTCCTGACTATCTCTAATCACTTTGTTTCCAACTTGCACAAGGACTGAAAGAGGACATGCGTTTCAGCAAGACAATAACAGCTCGTCTTTGGATGGTGTTTTCTAGCAGGCAGGATACATTTTACAGGCAGTCTTGAATTCTGGAAGAAAAGAGGGAAAGGTTTTGACATTGATTTTGTTCTTTTATCACCTCAATACATTTCTTACAGATGAAAAGCATCCACCTGTATTCTCTTATTAAAACCTGATTAATTAAATCTTAGAGAAAAATTCAAATTTATCAAATCCTAATAAGCAGCAGCCTGAGTCTTATGAATTCTGTGATTACAAACAAGAAATAAAAACATTTTTGTAAGGCCATTTTTTAGCTAAATATAGGAATAGATACAACTCCTTTTCCTTTAGGTATCAGTCTAACAGGTATGTATCTCTTTAGTCTGCATTCTTTCTCCCTGATTTTTGAAATGAAATGATTTTTCATTTCAGGATGAAATTGCAGCTTTTAAAGAGCTTTCATTGCAACTTTTGCCAATTATTTGTTACCACATGAGACAGCTTCCAGAGTTCTAAACAGGTGACCATATCTAGAGAAGAAAAAGGAATCATTGTGATTATTTCCCACATTATTATTCCTCTGTGCCATAAACATCTTTTGAGTACACTAATCAAATTGTAAGATAGAGATGAAACAGTCCTATTTCTAATTATAGTATTCTAGGTGTCTGTTTCAGTTCTTTTAATCAGAATACTAAAGCCTAGGTATTAAATTTAAATGACAGAATTCTGATGACAAATCAACTTTCATTTTAAAAACTAGCCTCTCTTGGCTGCCACATTTCAATTTTCATTTCTCCCTGTAAATATGCTTGCTTTCTCATGGAGATACTGGTTTGGTTTATCTGGATGATAATACAGTGTATTTTGTAACACTACAGAATATAAATGATTGAGACCTCCAACGCCTGCCTTAGAGATTCAAAACCCATCATTCCTTAGCTTGGTATCATTGTTAAATTTGATGCCAGAGTAAGTGAACTACTTTAAGGAGGATGTTTCCCACTTACACAAAGTGAATTAACCCTTCCAGGCTAACAATATCATAAAATTAAATAAAACTTTAATTTCTGGGCTTCTCAGTAAAATTACGATAGGTCATTTTACACGGACATGCCTTGGTCTGTTAGCGCCACTTAAGACACCTCTGCAGCAGCATTGCTCAAAGTGGAGGCCTTGACCCCTCATCCGCATCCCTGTGCCCAGGCTCCTCTGGATCCGCTGAAAAACTGTCCATGGGTGGACCCTGAGGATGCATATTTTTAGAAGTTTTTTAGGTAATTCTTTTGCCCAGTACAGTTTAAGATACTGTCCACTTGTTTTATGATTTCTTTGAAACATAATTATCGTACAATTAAGAAGTTGGGTATCTAAAATGAGGCGTCGCCCTGGGGGATTGCCGTTTTAACAAGCGGGAGACACAGACAAGCAGCGGCGCCGGGGAAGCTGATGAGGGGCTCCTGTGTCGCACGCGGCGGGGAGCCACCAGCCAGTAGAGCTGTGACCACCTGCGCCGAGCCCGGTGCCCGCAGAGCCCAGGCCCTCACCGGGCCCTTGTCGGGTGACCGAGTGCCTGTGCCGTGTGTGTTCCAGGCGAGCCCTGCCCGGAGAACGGAAGGAGTCCCGGCTCCGTGTCCACGCAGCACAGCTCCCCGCGCAGCGACTACACCGCCTACGCCAACAGCAGCCACGCCGCCCCTGGGAGTGACGCATCTCCCCCCGAAGGCTTCACCCCGCACAGCCCGCAGACCAGCGACGTGATCATCCACCGCAAGGAGAACGAGGGCTTCGGCTTCGTCATCATCAGCTCCCTCAACAGGCCTGAATCCGGATCCGCTATCAGTAAGTGACCGCTTCTCCTACCTCGAATAAGAGGTCTTGTTTCGTTTGTTCCGTGGTGGGACCCCAGACAAGCAGATCAGAGGACTGAGGACTGCGGTAGACGTACTGTGGAGCCTGAAAGTCTCAGGCTGTGGGCGCAGATAAGGCATCCTACCACTTGACAGCCAGACGTTCCTCTGGCTCAGGAAGAATGCAAGACCGCAGCTAATGTGCCCCCATCCCCACAACTCCCATAAAAGCTCTTTATTCACTTTAAACCAGGAAGAAAATAAAACCGTGATGTAGGAGTGTCGGCATGAGGGGAGGGGTGCTCCTGCCCAATAGAGAAAAAACAGAAGTGCAGAGGATCTGGGGGAGAGCAGCCCAGGCAGGGGCTATCCGCGGAAGGAGCTCAGCATTCAAGAAATACTCAGAAGCCAGTGCGGCTGTGCTGTAGCTGCAAGAGAGCACGGCCTGTGGTCAAGACAGGGAGCTGGGCAGCAGCCAGGCCGCACAGGGCTTCCTGCACCCGTGGGAAGAGGTCTGGACTGTAGTGTACAGAAATCTGACATGTATTTTTAAAAGGTGCGTCCAGCTGCTTGTGGAACATGAAATCGGGGAAGAAAGCAAGAGCGTGTGAGACAGTTAGGAGGCCATTAAAATAGTTCAGTGGGTCCGGGGATACTGCGCAGGCCCCCAGAGTGGTAGAGTGGATGGGGGAGAAGTCGGAGACCCTACCTTCTGGATTCTTCCATATTAAGGCTCTGTGAGTCTGTACGATAGGTGACAGTCAAGAGGTCGTGTTTCTCTTCCAGTCGGTCATCTGTGTACATTCTCAAGGCTTCCCTGGTGGTTTTCCTCTAGCAACACTATCCTAGAAGTTGCACAACCAGTGAGCAACAGGGAAATGTGTTCATGTTTTGTGTTGAAGTGACTTAGCCCAAAATGTTGTGGATAGAAACACTAGAATAGAGAACACTGAGAGAAAAAAATAATTGTGTCATGTTGTGATCCTAAAATTGTTATAAATCGTGGCAGTTTCCAGCACATGGGGGAATGTCAAACAATACTCAAGAAATCAAATTTTTGAGAATGAATAAGAACTTTTTATGATAAAGTTAAAGTCATCAAAACACCACCAGAACCAAATGGAGAGAATTGCTCTGTGTAACTTCAACTTTGACAGACTCAAGAGTGAAAACTATGAGAATATTAAACCTCAGTAAATATGTGCAGAAGCTAAATTGCATACATCTGAAAGTCCAGTTTCTCTTTTCCTTCATGATAAACTGAAGACGTAAATCCAATCCTTAAACATAGAGTAAAAGCAGGATTCTATCACTACAAATAGATTCACCAAGATTAAAAGGACACAAGACTAAAGATTTTCATGAATTATATAAACTGCCTTCCAATAATTTATACTTGGAGAAAATGTACACAGAGAGTTTGTAGCTATTCCAGTCATTCGAATTGTTTGCTAGGACCGAGTACAATTGATTCTAGTCCTATGGAATAAAAATAAAAAATATATTACCACAATGAAAGGATTAAGCATGTACTTAAAATCAGCTTTATTTGAAGTGTTGACAGCATTATTGCTGAATGTATAGGAGCATATAGGGTGGGGGAGGGGGTGAATGCACACACATGTGCATGGAAAGAAACCACAAATGCTTTTCCTGTTGCACATAAAATCCATGCATAGGTAGATTTGCAAAACAGCATGTGCAAATGCTTACAATTACTGTGAATATTTCTTCCCATCAAGTGACATTAGACTGACTTCAAAAAAATAATTCACACCATTTTCAGAACAGCATTATTTTACATCAACCTGGAGAGTGGAAATATATTCTAAAGTTAATGATGCATCCTGGTTTCTTTTTTTCACATATTTATTTCTCTTCAATTTAGGGAGTTTGAAACGTAGGTTGCCCCCACGTTCTCTGGGAAGAGCAGCCATTATTCTGACAGCACTTAGTGTTTACAGTATATAATTTGCAACGTGCACCGGAAAGTTCCCAGGCCTGATGCTGTTTCTCACTTAACTTCTGTAATAATTCTGCACTCTAACTGAAGAGAAATGCTCAGCATCTCATGGCTGCTGAGAGCCATCCTTGTGCCGCTCGTGTACGCATGGTCAGAATATCAAGGGTCCTTGGGCCCCAGGAGATTTGAAGAGCCAAATACTACCAGGTACTTGAGAGTCACAGTCATTCCCAGGGCATGTGTGAACACTTGCATGATCCTCCTCATGGCTGCTGATGCCTTTCCACCTGCAGATGCACCCGGCTGTGCTTTCGGCAGCTGCGCTGTCACCTTTAGGCAAGGGAGTGGCGTGGTTAATACCTGGTGCTACAGTCAGACTGCCCGGATTGAGGACTGTCGCCACCATTCATTAGCTGCATGACCTTAAGGAAGTTACACAGCTTCTCTGGGCCTCAGTTTCCTTAGCTGAAAAGAGAGGATAATTTTAATACCTGTGTCCTGGGGTTGCTCTGACAGTTAAATGAATAAGTGTAAGTGCTTAGAACAGTGCAGGCTCAACGTAAGCACCAAATACGTCATTGTTGCTGTCTAAGCCACCATCCCTGCTAGGAATTATCTTTCCCTTCCATCAGCCCCCTCCTCTCAGCACACAGGCTCTCAGTGCCCTCAGCCATTAGGGCCTCCCACTCATCAAAGCTGCTAAATCTGGGCGGCAGGGAAGCATCTCTGAGGGCAGCTCCCTGGCCCCACATCTGAGCTGGGAGCACAGCCTTCCCTGTCAGCCATTGGTGGCAGCCTGCAGCAGCCAGGGAGGCTATCCGAGCAGGGGCAGCCACATCAGTCCCCCCGAGCGAGCCTTTACTGAGGCTGCAAGCTTGAAGTGTCCCCAGAATTCACTAGCCAATAAACTAGAGAAGCCCTGCAAAACACCAAATGGCAGACTTGAAGCTGTGCCTCTTAGAATCTCCTGCCAATGTTGTATCTCCATTGAATATACCAGAGAAGAGAAAAGGGATGCAGAAGCCAAACACAAACTTCCCCACCCTGCAGAGGAGCATTACCTCCTGCAGCATCTTAATCCAAGCAGCAACTTTCCCAGGGAGGCCAGATGTTTAACCAGCTGAAAACTTGGGAAGTGGAATGCCTGGCTTACTTAATTTATTGCGTTTAGTGGAGCTCTTAACCAAAGACTTTCGTTTCTTTTTTCAAAATATTATTTCCCCCCAAAACAAAGAAGAAATGTCTTTGTATCAGTTAATGTACTTAAGGAGCACATTGCTTCCTTCCAAAGCCTGTGACCCAGGAGGTCAAATATTGCTTGGCAGGACACAGGTCTTAGAAGCCTTCTATCTGAGGTACAGGAATATCATTCTTGATTCAAAGTGAGAGTAGACAAGCTTCCTGAGCATTTTTGGCCCATTTTCAAGATTATTAAATACTTTTTTCAGACCTTAAAACTGGACCCAGAAGCAGAGGCTGGGCCTTTCTGCAGGAGGAGGGTGGGTGTGAAGTAGGCACCAAACACTGGGGTAAGTGAGAAGGGATGTGAAATGACTGAATGGAGACTGGGGCTGGGAGGAGGATTCAGTGATGATTCCAGATGTGGGGTGTTGGATGGGGGGCTCTTACCTGTCCGGAAGGCTGAGTGGTGGACAGAAACTGCTGCCGGCCACCTGAGTGGCTGGTGAGGGCTGGGGCCTTAGGAACACCCCCTCAGCAGGCTGTAGCCCCCATCCTAGGAAGGGGATTGGAGAGCAGGAGCCCTTTCCCCGCACCCTTCTGGCCGCTGGCCACTGGTTGTACCTTGTACCTCAGAGGGCTCTGCATGGCCTTCAACCATTCCTAGCCTGCAGAAGAGCAAAAAAAGGGGAAAAAATGATCCAGGCACCTCACCGGCGGGCACCCTGCTGGCTCCGTAATCTTTCATGTCTGTGCTGGGACTGAAAAGTCTGTTTCCAGGTGTGTGCTGTCCTGGCACAGGCTGGAGTGCAGACTTGCTCCCTGTTGATTTTCCGCAGGCCTGCTGCGATCCGATGCTGCAGGAAGGAGTTAGTCACCTTGATACAATGCCCTGGTGACTTTCTCAAATGCTAATGTCCATAGGCTCTGGAGATTCAGTTATTCTAGAGATCCAAAAGCCTATCCAATAAGGCTTTTATGACATTTTTAAGCATACATCTCTAAAGAGGATTAAATAAATGTGAAAAGGCAGGAAGCAGGTTAGGATTTTCCCACCAAAACTCACCCCACTGACCATGCAGCCCCTGGATAGTCATTTGAACTTGGTACAAATTAAAATCAAATGCCAAGGTTTCTACAGTCTTGCCCTAATCCAGGAGATTTAAACTAAATGGAAAGTGCCCTCCGCGAGCTCGAGCCTCACTCCAGCTTACCAGCTGACTACAGTGTCCCTTGAGCAAGTCAGGGGCCTTCCTGTGTCCTTCCTCACCTGAAATATGAGGGGAGTTAGCCTGTGCAGCCTCTCCCAGCTCTCGGTCATACTGTGCCATGGGTCAGCAGGGAAATGAGGTGTTTGGTTAATTTTGTCTCTGTGTGAAGAGCCTGAAAGCTTGGATCATCTTTTTCATTGGCTTAGGCATCACTTTAAACTTTTGTAACCTTCATTTTTTATTATAGTTCGAAGGCATCTCCTTCTCTTCTGTCCATCTCAACCTCTGTGGAGGGGTGACCTGAAACAAGCACTTAAGTCCACTAAACCAGCTCCCTTCGAGGGCAATTTAAGGCAACATCTCCCTCCCTTTTTCACTCTGTGGCACACATAAAATAACAACATCTGTATAACACATGGAGGTAAAAGGAATCAAGGCTGCTGGAGGCAAAAGGCAGCCTCCCAGGGGGCTCTGCCCCAACCTCTTCCTACCATCCTCAAAAGCCAGTCACTCTCATGGACCACCTGTACCCTGGCACACTTCTTCCAACAAACGGCCCAGGCTACAAAGTCCCGCCCCAAACTGAAGTCTCTGCCTACCAGCAGCGAACAAGCACCTCTTTTCACATTTCGTTGGTTT